AATAATAATAGGAATCTATAATAAATTCTACATGCCAGCAATTAGAAAAATCTGTACTCACTTTTCTGCTTTCGCTTTTTTCTTTCGAACCCTTTTCAGTACATTCTCTTTGACCTTAGTATCAGGCAGAAATTTAAATAATTCCACTGTGTTATTTAAACCATGGCACCCTACGATTGAACGAGTCGTGTCTACCTCGAGAGACACGACTCGCCCACGACCGCTCCTCAAAATACTCCCAACTTTCTCGCATCTTAAAGGATGTTTCTATTGAAATAAATTATCATTAAACATTTAAACAGGTAATATAATGAATGCATAAACGATTAATAGGCGTTTACCACATCGCTGACTTCGACATCGTCAATAATAGACAAATCTTGTAAATTAACGTCAACATTTGCTGCGCTCCGTTCAACGAAAAATATTTTCCATATACGTAATTCACTATCGTTGCATCCAGTTACTAAATACTGATCATTCTTAGCTAACGCGAGACTCCAGACCTGGATTTAACAGAATTATAAAGTATTCAAAGTGTAAATTAAATATCATGTGCTTCTTGAATCAGATTTACCTCTGTTCTATGACCAACGAGAGTCCTGAAGTTATGTTCAGTGTCTAAATCCCAGAATTTAACGAAAGTATCTTTACTAGAGCTGATGATAATGTTATGATCTCTCATAAATGCTAATTTGGTGATCACACCTTTGTGCCCAGTCAGTCTACAGATTCCAGTTTCTGCTACTACGTCCCAAACGATTATATTCGTATCCTAGAAGCAAAGACGAAGTAGAATCAATATACATCCTCTCTTGTATGGCAAATTATCTTACTTTTGAACCAGAAGCTAATCTGTGTCCTTTCCTATCATAAACCAAGGACGTAATCTCAGATCTGTGCCCTACAAATATGCTGACGTTCTCTCCAGTTCTTAAATCGAATATCTTTATAGTACCATCCGCATATCCGACTGCTATATGAAAAGTATTAGGAGACGCTGCCAAGGAAGTTACGTTCACTTTGTCTCCAGACAACACCTGAGCCTGAATCATATTAAATAATTAAAAGGTGTGTTCTGCAGTTATAATTATTATAATTTACCTTTTCTCCTAAACGTAAATCCCATATAAAAACGTGTTCGCAAGCTCCGACTGCTACGTATCTGCCTTCCTGCTCTTGAAGCGTTACAAACACGACGTTGCACGAAGGGCTAACGATTATGTTCAAATTCCCTGCTGGCACGTATCTTAAATATTGTTTCGTCAAACCCATTTCTTATTTATTAATTAATAACGTTGAATCTCGTGCGATTTATATACAAACAGGTTAAGTTAGGTTAAAAACTCACGCCTCACGTGGTAGATTGACTATATTTCTGTTCGCATACTATAGTACATATTTTGGGTTTAAATAAAACGCGGCAGGAGATTATTTGAATGTATTCCTTATTTTATTGAATATAAAGGAACTGTAGAAAAAATTATATTACAGTGTATGTATACTTAAATTTTTGTCGCATTTAAATAATATATATATATATATTATTTAAATGCGACAAAAATTTAAGTATACATACACTGTAATATAATTTTTTCTACAGTTCCTTTATATTCAATAAAATAAGGAATACATTCAAATAATCTCCTGCCGCGTTTTATTTAAACCCAAAATATGTACTATAGTATGCGAACAGAAATATAGTCAATCTACCACGT